ATCCTTGATCATACGGAACCCAACTGTTCCTTTGTGCCGTCATCCTGCTAGTCTTCAACAGTTTCATAACAAACTGTCACATATACGAAAATAGTACCGTATGGATAATCCTTCCACTAAGCAAGTTCCTAGAAAAGATTGGAGGGGTCATACCGGTCCCGCTTAAAACTCAATCTCCTAGACAGAACTTTTTAGGCCATATCTATCCATCGTACTGTCTTTCCATATATACAACCATTTGCTAGCTTTGTTGTGGCTTTCCTTTACATGTGATCTGGGGTATCCTGGTTTTATACTTGATTTCTCAACATCTGGTGAGACTATCAGTGCTTAGATTCATCAAAATTGGTCTTCATCAAATTTCACTCTCCACCTCAAAATTGTCCACATGATCGGGTGTCTAGAGTGTCCCAATTTTTCCTTCCCTTAAGGCAATTAAAATTCCCCATATAATGGTTCAACAGATGTAATTGGGTAAACATGTGTGATTTCTTCTTCTTCATCTCTATCGACCACCATGATGACCATCGGATGCCTCCTAATCGGGCAATCTCTCTTTAATAATTCACCATCACCATTTTTTATCTCAATCTCAATGATCGGACCATACCATTGCATCCGGAACGATCAAATTAGTTGGAAACAAGTCTGAAATAGTCCAAATCGTACTTCAGACGGCTAAGATTTGATCAAAACAATTCTAGCCTAATAAACGACTCAGATTCAGTCTCAAAACCGGCTGCACGTAGACTCCACCACACAGAATCCTGTCCCTCGACTAGCGGCTCGGCTCGGCTCACTCTCGGCTTGCGGCTGGTGACATGGCAATGGGTCCCACAGTGATGACGTGGTTGCTCACTCTTGGCTTCGTCTCTTCCTCCTCTACACAGTGGTATGGTCAAAACACAAGTTTGACAACTTTCATTTTTGAGCAAAATCAAACACCACTTTGAACCATGTGCTCTGATACCAATTGTTGGGAATTCTGACCGGTAATGTTCTGATACTTGCTCATAAGAGGCCAAAAACACTGACACAATATTTAATGTGGTTCGACAAATAGCCTACATCCACGGGAGAGAGTCTATATTATTAGAGATTAGAGAAAGAATACAAAACAAATACATGGAGGAGGAGGATTACACCCTCTCATACTCAACTCTCAATTCTCTTTGTTGCACTTGCAGCTGCTGCAATGGCAGCAAAGCTGCTACCATTCCTCTCTTTCTCTCTACTTTCTTTACATTCTCACAAAACTCTTCATATTTTGCTCTCTAACATATGTCTCTATTTATAGGCATTCATGGAGGCTCTTCTTGGTTTGTTGTCAACATTGGTGGCCACCAACTCTAACTCATTCAACAATGGTGGCTATCAATAGTCAATAATCAATGGTTGATGCCTTATATGAAATGACAACCAACCTAATATCCTGTACAAAAATATACAAACTCAGATTAAAAATACAAGAAAAAAGTGTAAATGTTTGATATTTCTATAGCATTGCGTGTAAATGTTCTTCCATTCGCTATATTAATATGCCACGAGTTAACTCCAGATTGATGTTATGAAGAAGTTTAGGGAAGCAAGAGTGGCCATCCCGACGAGAAGGACGAAAGAATTGACGTGGTAGGCAAGTGGAAAATGGATTAATTATGATAACCACTGTATCAGTCCCTTAGTTATATATAAATTATCAATTAGGACCTCAAACTATCAATTTTATCGTGGTGGTCCCTAATCAACATACTTTCCATTAATCATAGATCCTACTATTAAATTAATTAGATAACTAGTTGTTACTATGCTTTTACAGGAGTAATTCCATCCATTTATTTTAAAATTCAAGGAACCAAAATCTCATGTGTGAGATATATATGAAAATAAATACAATATGGACAAGATATCTATTTGAAATGATCTAAGATTATATTCTGCCCGTTGTCTATAATTAATAATAATAGACAAGAAAACAAAAAGGAAAACTGCTAGGCCTGTATCTTGCATGAAATCTTAATCACACAAACCAGATTTTCTCATGATTTCTTGATTATGGAAGATCCCTTGTCCAAAACCTGTATCTGAAATAAGATTCTTACATTAATTTCCATGTATAAATTAAGTCCCGAATAGCATAGCCTCCAAATTAATCGTCCCCTATGCAATCAACAAAGCATCCATGTATGGGTAATTAAGAAGTAATAAATAGAAAAACATCAAAATTAAGTGTCACTACGTTGTTCTTAGATGTTGTTAACCCGGATCAGATCCCAAATCACAGTTGGAAAATATAGTCTCACATAGTGACCATGCTCATATAGAGGCAACCTCTCTCTGTAGTATACAAGAAACAGCAAGCCTAGCCCTATAAATAAGAGGCATTCTTAAAAAAAAAAAATCAAAATCAAAATATACAAAAGAATCATCCAGGCATGAATCCCTTATTCACAAGGAATTTCATTCTGCTAATATCATCTGTGTTACTGATCCTTACTACTTGTGATGCATTTTGTTTTCTTCGAACAGACGTACATTTGAATATTACAAACCAGTTGGGTTCAGGCCTGGACCTTACCATCCAATGCAAATCGAGGGATGACGACCTTGGCGTGCATGTAGTCCCTTTTGATGGTTATTATACAATGGATTTTTGTTCCAATATTTGGGGAACTACACAATTCTATTGCGGCATGACAT